GTTAGTATCGGGTGTGCTCTGGCATTCCTGATTTGTTCGTGCCTGAAAGATTGTATTTCAAGACAAAGTGGGTGCTTATTTTGAGAGTGAGACTTCTCCCCAATCAACCAGTTTATTTTGTTCTCAAGCTACAGGTGAAACTGGACCCCACCCATTCCTGTGGTGGGATTATATGGGTATGCTCTGCCTAGCTTTTGTCTGATGTGGAGGTTGGGATTTACCACCCCCCCCCATACACACACACCAGGCCCCTCCATCCCAGGCTTACTAGATGTAGACTGCAGATCTGTTTCTCAAAACACCACCTCAAGAGAGCCTGAGTGGCATTGGCCCGAGATACATGTTGGGAACAAAGCCCCCCAAGTCAGTTTCTTCACTTTGCGCTGATTTGGCTCTTAGTAATTACCTCTTTTTCTGTTAAACAAGAGAAGGCAGATTAAATTTCTAACAGTAAGGCACAAAACCCATCCATTTACAGAATTAGGCTTACATTAGCACATAGGACAAACCAGCCTCTCTGGGGACGGATCCTTTTGCTATATCTCTCAGCATTTTTGGAGTAAGTCCAGGAGATTTTGGGAAAAAAATCTAGTATTCACTGACCTTAAATTAACAGTGACATGACCCTTTGTGTGGTTTCTCCCTTGACTGGGAAAGAGGATTTTCTATCTGCCCATGACTTGGGGCTGTAGGTCTCAATCTTTAATGTGCACAAGGAACCCTAAGAAAGATCTATGAACCTTGCCCCTGGAAGTTTGGGATGCTGGGTCTAGGAGGTATCCTGAACATTATAAAAGGAAAAAACTCGATTTATGACTTGATGTGTGACAGGACAAGAGTCACTAAGAATGATAGAGCAGTAAAAGCCAGGTTGCCTGTTATCCAAAAGCTGCTTTACTTTAAAGTTGAAGACTGTTGATATTTTGAATCTGTTGATCTAGAGTATATGTTTGGCAGCACATGGTAGGGAACTGCCTCAGTGATGTACTCTGGACAGTCACATGGCTGTTCTCACAGCATGACTGCATTTATTACTGTCTCTACACTGATGTTGCTTCTAGAGTAGCTGATTCTGTGATGCTGCATTGTGTGTTCTCACGCCTTTGAGTCAATATAGACATGGAGTTGGGCTGGTATGACTTGCAAATGTTTGGCTGGTTGTGTGCTTCAGCACAGTTTAGGGGAAGTCTGACAGCATCTTTAACTAATAAAGATTTTCTCTGCACGCTAACACAGATAGTGTTTGTCCATGCACCTATGCACGTGGAAGGAATGGCTGAATCCGAGCACAAAGACCAGCCTCAGTGCTGGGGGTTGGAGTGGTGACTGGCTAAACTTGTGTCCAGGATGTGGCTTCAGGTCTCTGTCAGGTCATGGTACCATGAAAGGCATGTGTTCTACCTCATGGGCCAACATTCTCGGGACTCTTCATCGCCTGAGGTGTTTCCCAGGTGATGGACTCTAAGAAGGGGACGCTCATGGGTCAGCTACTTAACCTCTGCTTTCCTCTGGTTGGATAGAAGAATAACCTTTTCCCCTCAGCTGCATTCTTTTATGCTATCTCAGTGGAGAGAGGGAAGGAAGTTCCTATACTAATGTCTCTGGATTTCTGTGTAAAGAATGCTTGGGGAAGCCAGGTATGTTGGCACATGTCTTTAATACTAGCATTCAGGAGGCAGAAGCAGGCAGACCTCTCTTGAGTTCCAGATCAGTTTGGGCTACATAGTGAGATCTTGTCTCAAAAAATAAAAAAGCAAAACACGAAAAGCTCCTTTGGAGGTCAAAAATAGGTGGGGGAAAAAAAGAAAATCTTTTTCAAAAAAAAAAAAAAAAAAAAAAAAAAAAAAAAAAAAAAAAAACCCAAAAAAAAAAAAAAAAAAAAAAAAAAAAAAAAAAAAAAAAGCCCTTGGGAATGAATACACCAAGCAGAGGACCACCATGGGCATCGTTGATTGATTGATTGATTGATTGGGAAAAAGGTCGAACTTTCCATGAAGTTTACTCTAAGATGGAGATTTTCATGTGGTTCAGAGGACAGAATTGATGTGTGTTGGGGTGGGTGGTGGGCAGGGGAGTCGGAACGACACACCTGCCCTGAGTACTCCTTGGGTATAGACTGCCCTCTGGAGGGGATGGGACTGAGGCAGCTCCTTTGGCCAAGGGCAGCATCCAGGAGGAGACAGTGGCAGGTAGCCTCCTTTCTCATGTAGGGGAGTCAGAGACTCATCTGTGCAAGAGCCATTGGATGAGTATCTGCAGTCAGTCCAGATGTGCAATGTGTGTCTCTTGTGTTGTCTCCTGTGGGTGCTCCACTGGTTACTGGTTTCCTTTTTCCTCCTGCTGTTACCTAACCAGTGGTGGGAACAGCAAAGCTCAGCAAAGTGGGAGTCAGGGATTCCACCCTTTTTGAAGTCAATTGGTCATTTTAGAATTGAGAGGTAATCCTAAGAATAGTGATTAGAAAGAAAGGTTGGCCCTGGAATGTTGGCGTTTGCATAGTTACAGTTGAGGACTTTGAAACTGTGAGGACTTTGTCCTCTGGATCTTTAAATGGTTCAGCACAGTGTGTGTTAATAGGGAGCCCCACAGTGTCTCTGGTGCTGAGGCCCTGACCCCACTGGTGGTCATTTGCAGCCTGTGAGTTTCATGTCCTTCCTATCCACTGCCCCACCACAAAGCCTTCCCCAGTTGTTAGAGCTGGGGAGTGCCTTTTCATGTCTTCTCAGAAAAGCCCTGCTATGCAGATGCCTTCAGTGTTCAGACTTGGGCTAACTTAGCCTCTCTGTATCCCCTTGCTACTTCTGTTACTGCCTCTGCTCCTAGTGTGACAGGTTACTGTGTACACATGTCACCAACAAGCAGGTTTAGGAGCAGCAGAGGTGGCAGGTGGAGCGAGCACCCACTTGCTGAAGAAAAGAAAAGGAGCTGGAGTGGTCCTCAGGGGAAGACAGCAGTACTCGGTCACTGCATGCTTGGCAGTAGCATGGTGCCAGGCCCTTTCCATGTGAGATCCGCTTATTCATAATGACATGCCTGTTGCCTAGGGTACTTCCACTGACTGTGGTAGGCTAGGAAGCTTACATGCATTCAGTCTGGTCACTTGGCTAATAAGGTGGTAGAACCTCATTTGTCATCTGGAATCTTGACTGTGTACCACCGAGCTGTGGTGCCATGGTTGGGAGCGAAGCAACAGGGTTGGGCTGTACTTCTGTAGAGGGACTGTCTTCCAGGTTGGACGTGGGAGGCTTCAGGACTTCTGCACCAGAATCAAAGCAAAGATGACATCTCAGGTCTCAGTCATGTCCAGCCCAGAGGCAGTTCACAGTGTGACTTGCTCTAAGGGGCCATAGACTGAATGAGTACACGCTTAAACTGCCTTTGCTGTGGTTGTGTGAGGACAAGGAACTTTTTTTTTCTTGTTTCTTCACCCAGGGAGTAAAGTGGGCCTTTCTGCTTCTGTAGACAAAATAATCCAGAGGAAAAGGCAGGAGGAAGTTTGGGGTGGGGCTGCAAGTGACAGCCCCTCACCTTGTGTGCACACTTTCCCTGACCTGCAGTGACTCCAGGGTAGGGACTCTCCACTGCCCCTGGCAGTGATGGTCTTGGGTGATGAGTAAGCTGATCATCCTGGGAGGGATCTTGCCTGACATCAGTCTAGTAGAGTTCCTTTGTTTTCTTAGGCAGGGACCTGCACCTTCCAATTACCCTTGCAGATTTTTTCTTGTTTTTTTTTTTTTTTTTTCCCCCCTGTGGCCCAACATCCCTCTGCTGATTAACATTCTGTTCCTCCTTTGTCCACAGAGAACTGTCAGCGCTCACTCTTCCCCCAGAGAGCCTTTTGGTCCCTATGCTTTGCCTCTCTGTTTTTGGACTTGAACACCACATTTCCTCCTACGGTCCAGATTTTCCTTTAGCCCTGAGTGTCCTAGATGAACGGAAATGTGATTCTAGAGCATTCCTCACTCCAAATCTTGGAAGGGTCTAAATCAGTACTCACTCCTCATAACAGCCCTGAGACTGTTTTCTGTTCTGAGGTGGCAGCCTTGCAGTACGGAAACTGTTGTGTTTGAGTGGGGCGTTAACAACTTGCTTGTAACCAGTAAGTCACTGTTGTCAGCCAGAGCTTATTAAAAGTGAATTTTCCAGAGCACAGTCTGTCGGGACAAAGCGCTCAGCTCTCTGCAGCTCAGCTGCATAACCACAGCAAGCCTTGGCAGGTGGACCTGGGATTGGGAGAGGGGCGCACATGCACACTTGGCCTTTTCTGCTTCTCTCATTTTCCTTTGTGAGGCAGAGATCTGCATGACAGCCTTATCTTTCAGCCAAAGCCTGTTACCTCATCTCTAATTGCTTACCCCAAGGCAGGCGAGCTCGCATTTCTGCGCATTAATAAATGACACTGAAGAAGAACTGCTTTGTTTGCACTGGCTCGCTCAGGTTAACCAGCGTGAGCCCTGAGAGCCTTTGGAAACCTCCAGGAGAGGTGGGGTTCGCCAGCCAGAGAGGCTTCTGCGTGTTTACTTCTTGCTCACTCTTACTGCCCTCCTCTTTCCCATGAAAACATTAGTGACCTGAGTCAGTGCTGCTCCAGCTGTGGCTGCCACTCCCCTGTGTGTTGGGGGAATCTTGGTTGTCTTGTGGCGAGAGGTGGTCTCCCTGACTTCCAGGCTTGCTTTCTTGGCCACCTGCTTACCTTTCCTTAGAAATTGGGAGGTTTCTCTTAACCCTTCACTCATTCCTGTAATGTCCCTATTACAGAGTATGGACGAACATCCCTGTTTCTCTTTTCTGGAACATTATGGGAAATACTGAGATGGATTTTTTAGGGGAATGAAAGGAGAGTGGGTGTTGGGGCCAGAGACTGTAGAGTGGCTGACACCTCTGAGTTAGTTCTGTGACCTGCTGTCATGCCTTTTCTGGGAGATGGCCCCACCCTTTCTCACCACTTGGAAACATGAGCTCTTCTTAGAGTCTAAGCTTATTTTCTCTTTTCTTCTCAGAATGAGATGGACGATGTGCCCTTCTTTGATGTGCAGCTGCCTTATGAATTGGCAATCAACATATTTCAGTATCTGGACAGAAAGGAACTAGGAAGGTGTGCACAGGTAAGCTGTTACCAAGCACTCAAGGTCGCCCTAAGTGTGAGAGAGGCTCCTGAGTAAGGGATTTGCATTATAGGATTAGAGTTTACAGAATTTTGAAGGCAGGCAACCTTGAATTTAAAGGATCTCATTCTACATTCTTATAAGATGTTTGTCTGGTGACCATCTACTCGAGAGCTCTTCTGTCAGCAAGTCTGAGTTACTGACTGACCCCTCAGCACTTCCTTACAGTGAGCTAGCCTATGTTAATGTACCCACAGTTGTTAGTGCAAAGATGTATGCTCTTAGTTAAATCTGTCAGCCAGGGACAGAATGAAGTCATATGTTAGACATATAGTCCAAATTGCCCTTAAATAGCAGCATAACACTCATGAAATGTGAGGCCGGTGAAACTTGAGACCCACCAAGAGAATGGCACAGGAGTGTCACCCATATCATGTAGACCATGGAGTTGCGTGTTGGCTGAACTTGATTGCATGTAGAGGTGTTGTGGAAACACTTTCCCTGGGGACATGCAAACAAATGTCTCCCCACTCAGACAGGGCACTCATGACAAACCAAAATATAATTCTACCCAAGTCTAACTTGGGGAGCCAATGAGTTAATTGGGCTTCCTTACAGTTTCACCTCAGCATGAATGAAGACTCCCCACAGGGGGCTGCATAGGTGGAACCCCCTTCAGTTAACCTTCCACAGTCTCTATGTTCTAGTACTCAAGGCCACATGCAGTTAGGACAGAATTATAGACAAGACACTGGGAGGGACAGGAGGGATCATCTAGAATCTTGGGTGAAGGTCCGGTGACCCTTCCTCCTCCATCTTTAATGAGGGAGCATCTGAGCCAGCAAGCTGGGTCTCAGGGTTTCTTGCAAGTCGTCACAGCTGTGCCAATGAAGATGACACTTTTAGACTCAGAGGAGAACACTTTACAACAAGGGCTCAGTGCTCATAATTTGCATATTTGGATCAGATGACCTGGGGTGGTGCCTGTGGCCCATATTTCTAACTAGGTGGTACACTTGGGAAGGCCAGGGTTTATGTTGTTAAAGTTGTTCTCACCTTTTAGCCCAAAACATGTGATTGAATTACTGTTTTTCTTTTCATTTAGTTTTGGTTGTCAAAAATGGTATGTCTGTTCTGTGTGTGATGTTTGAACTATGTATATATTATAGAGTGGCTCAGCCCAGCTAATTGCTACATGTATCATCTCACATAGTTTTGAAGGGCAAAAGTACCTAAAATACTTAGACTATACCCTTAGCAGTTCTCAATTATATAATACATTATTAACTATCATCTCTGTGCTGTGCAATAGAGCTCACAGATGAATTTATCACCTGACATTTTGTATCTGTTGATTAGCATCTCCCCAACTTCTGATGCTGCTCCCCTCAGCCACCTTCTATTCTCTACTTCACATATAGTTCATCTTTATTTTTCATTCCCCTCTGAATGAAACTCAGTTGATTCTGAGTTCAACTTTAGACTTACATAAATGAGACCACATGATATCTGCCTTTCTATTCCTGGTTTTTTATCTTACTTCACACTCTATAGGTTCATCTATGCTGCCGCAGATGACAAGGTTTTCTTTAAGGCTGAGTGGTATTCCATTATGTATGTGCCATATTTTCTGCATCCATATGTGGGTTCTGCATCATGGCTGTTGTGAGTAGTGCTTCAGTGAACATGGCAGTGTAGCTATGTCTTCACACAGTTGGTGCTGTCCTTTGGGTATAGACATCCCCATTAGTGAAGTTGTGTCACATGGTGGTTCTCTTTTATGTTCTGCATTTAGTAAACTCCATACTGCTTTCCATGACTGTACTAACTTATTCCATCAGCAGTGTGAGAGTTCTTTCTCCGCTTGGCCCTTCAGCACTTACTGTCTGAAGTTTTGTGTCTTTTCTGTAACAGCCATTTTGACAGGCTGAGGTGGCATCTCACTGTGAGTTTTGTTTATTTTTGAGAAAGGGACTCAATGCTCTAGATCAGGCTGGCCTGGAATTCACTGTGTAGCACAGTCTGGCCTCAAACTCATAGTCTCACTGCCTCTGCCTTCCAAGTGCTGGGATCATGGATGTAAGCCACTGTGCCTGTCTCTTGTGGTTTGAGTTTGCATTTCTCTGGTGGTGGGTGATGCTGAGCATCATGGTGTGTCTTCTTCCCAGCAGCATCTCTTCATGTCCTTTACTCACTGCTTATTTGGGTTATTCATCCTCTTGCTGTTGAGTTCCTTCTCTGTGTTACATCTTGGTTCCCTACCAGAGGTATGGTTTGTAAATACTTTTTCATTCCATAGTTTGCCCCTTTATTTGTATGTGCATGTGTGATGTGATTAAACACAGTGGCATATGCATGCTAGGCAAGCACTCTATCAGTGCTACTTCCTTGCTCTGTTCTGATCTTTAAAAAGTCTGTTCGTCTCATGTAGCCCAACCTGGTCTCCAGCTCCTTAGGTAGCTGTAGATGACCTTAAACCCAGTCCTCCTGCCTCTGCCTCCACCTCCTAAGTGTTGAGATTACAGGCATTTCCACTGGGTCCTGGGTCCTGCTTTTGTTGCTCTTTTGCTTGTTTCTTTTGCTGTGCAAAAGCTTCTTAGTTTGTTGTAATCCTGTCAGTTTCTGCATTTGTTTAAATTTGACCTCAAATGCACAAGCAGCAAGTCATTATTGCCCAGACCAATGGCATTGAGCTCTCGTTTCTGATCATTTCAGGTCTTTTTGCATGAGTTCTGGAGAGCCAAATTTGGATCCTCATGCTGCACTGGTGCTTAATCTTGGAGCCATGTCTCCAGCCCCCATTCTGGACCTTTTAAGACTTTAATGCTTTGAGTTCACTTTTGTAGGAGGGTAGGACGAAGTCCAACCTCATTCTTCTGCATGTGTAGCCCCAGTTCCCCAGTGTCGTTCCTTGGAGATTATCCTTTTCCCATTGTGTATCTTGGCACCTTTGTTGGAAATCAGTTGACTGTGAATGTGTGGATCTATTTCTGAACTTTATTTTGTTTCATTAGTCTTTGTATCTGTTTTTGATGCCAGTACTATGCCATTTGGATTAGGTAGCTTTGTAGTATAATTTGAAGTCTTGTGTGATGCCTCCAGCAGAGTTTGTTTTTGTTGTCATTTTCAAACAGGAGCGCATTGTAGCTGAAGCTGACCTGGAACTTGCTCTCAGCCCAGGATTACCTTAAACCCTAGATCCTCCTGCCTCATGAGTCCTGGGATTATAGCCTGGTGCTAGGATTTTTTTATTGATTATTTTGTATATTCAGAATCTTTAGTAGTTCCAATAAATTTCATAGCTACTTTTTCTTCTTTGAAATTTTGATAAGGATTATATTAAATCTGTTAGGTACCTGGAGCAGGGTGGACCTTTTACCTGTCTTTCCCATCTGTGAACATGGTGTAGCTTTCTCGTATCACTTGTGCTGCTTTCCCCAGTGTTCATGGGGCTCAGTGTGCTGCTCTCTCACTTCCTATGCTAATTGTAGTCCCATTTTTTGTACTTTATATTTTGTGAATAGAATTACTTCTTGATTCTTCTTTTGGGTACTTAATTGTTAACAGACACAGAAGCCACTGATATTTTGGTGCTTTTTGTATCCTGTGACTTTGAATTTGCTTATATTAACATTTTTCTGGGTTTGGGTCTATATGTAGTAGCATGTTGTCTGCAAATCAGGTCTTCTTCCCTCCTTCCCTCTCTCCCTCTCCCTCCCTATCTCTTTCTCCCCCTCCCTCCTTCCCTCCCTCCCGCTTCCCTCCTTCTGTTTCCCTCCCTTCCTCTTTCCCCAAGGGTCTCACTGTGTAGCTCAGGCTAGCCTCTAACTGCTTCCTCAGCCCCCGGGCCCCAAGTGAGATTACAGGGCGGCACTAGAACTTGCAGCTCCATGCTTACTAGATGACTGTGATGACTGTTGGCATCCTTTCTTGTTCCTAATTGCCAAGGAAATGCCTCCGTTTTTCACCATGACTGTGAGGTTAGCTGTGGCTTGTTGCATAGTACCTTTGTTATCCTGAGGTGCATTCTGTTTACACCTGATTTCTTACAAGTTTTTATTGTAAAAAAGGTTGTTGAATTTTGTCAAGTGCTTTTTCTGTGTCCATTGAGATGATCAGATGACTTTTGACTTTCATTCTGCTGATGTCTGTCATGCTTTTTATTTTTGCAGTGCTGGGGCGGGTACAGACCCCAGGGCCTTGGCACATGTTAGGCAAGCACTCTACTGTGAGCCATATCCCCAGCCCAAACATCATACATTTTCTGATGTTGGTACTATGGACCAAATTTGGGGCCTTAAACACGCTAGGCAACCTGAATGCAGGATTACCGCTCATTTAGCCTTTGACAACTTTGTCCCTAGAAGAAACTATAATGTCCATTTCCCATAACTGCTAAAAAATCAGCTCGTTAGTGGTTTCCATTTCTGGCCTTGTAGTCTCTAATGCCTTTTACAGTATTTTTGGTGTCAACGTCTTCTAGAAAAAAGGTTCAGTAATGGGTGGTGAATCATACTCTCAAATCCAAAGCACCTCAGGAATGTGAGGTTCAAGATATTACAGCACCTAGCCGGGTATGGCAGTACACACCTGGCATCTCAGGACTTGTGATGGTGAGGCAGGGGTTCAAGGCCCGCTTAGCTGCACAGCAAGGGCCAGGCAGATGGCTCAGCGGCACCAGAGTTGATCTATGGACCCCATGTAAAAAGCCGACGTGCTGCTGCAGTGTGTATCCGAAACCCTAGCAAAATGCGAGTCTGAGACAGACTTGCCTGGACTCTCACAACCTGCTATCCTAGAGTAGCAGAAACAAGAGCCACCTTGTTTCATAAGGTAGAAGGAGAGAACCAACACCCAAGAATTATCCTCTGACCACACACACACACACAGAAACACAAACATGAACATACTGAAAATATGTTTCAGAAACATATTTCTGAAAATGAAGGTAGTTTGGAAGTCGTAGGAACTGTAGCCATGTAGACTGCGGAAGCGCCGTC